CTCAGAAGGAGCCAGTTGGAATGGACAAAGACCTAATCAAGCAATGGGTGGAGGAAGGCGTTTCAAATTGCATGAAAGAGTTGATGCCTTCGATAGTTGAACAAACTTTACATCAGGTCGTCCCCATTGCCATTTATCGGGTATTTCATGAGGTTTTTCGAAGATTGGATAATTATGGTATTTCGAGAGCTGGGGATAAAACTAGAGGAGCTGAGAGTCCATCCACTCCATACTTTGGTCATGGGGTAACTTCTTAACTTTTGCATTTCACGTGGCATTTTTTGACATTTTTCGTAAGTTAAAACTTTTTCATTCTTTGTAAAATGATGTCAAGCAGTCCTCTCAGGCGGCCTTCTCCACTCGAGGAGAATCAAGCGGTCCTCTCAATCCGGTTTGACCTCGGTCTTCCGGCTTGCTTGGGATTAATAGGGCATTTGACAACCATCAAACTAGGTGATGTACTTAAGTCCCAAGTACTTGGATGCACAATTGGCATGATTATGGGCTCGTAAAGTTTGCGCCATGTTGTGGTCTTGTAGTAGTCGTGCACATATCCATACACCGATTCGTTTGCCTTCCTAAAAATGGTACATGCATAGAAAACAAATTAAAGGAACACAATATAACAATATGTACGTAAACGTTGCGGCTTCTAATAAAAAAAAAAGGATGAAAAAAAATACCCGATAGCCTTAATCGCATGTGAACAGGGCAATAAATCCACCTGAAAGAGATAACAAGTGCATGTCCGATCATTCAAATTGACAACAAAATTCTTGACCCCGTCCTTCACGTGGTAAATGTAGTGATTAATATTTGAAGCTTCCATTTGGTCTGCTGCAGTTTTATAATCCATTAAACGCTTAGATATTGATGGAGGAACTTCACACTCAGTCTTTTCTGTGTCGAAACGTCTTTTGTGAAACCACTCTTGCATAATGTTTCGAATACATTCAAATAATGAGCAAACAGGCAATTTTCTTGCCCAACGCAACCTATTGTTAAGCACCTCACAAGCATTTGACGTCATGAAACTATATCGTCTAACAGGACATTGACTTCGTGCCCACCTTATTGGAATGGCTTCATCAATCACAACTTTTTTTGTGTTAGGATATTTTGCTGCAAGCATGGCCATCGACTTCTCGTACACAACAGGAGAATAAGTGTATGAAGCTTTCATATATAAACCAACAGCTTTAGACCTGTGACTTCGAATATTTTGTCGAAGGTGGTAGGAACATATGGCATGTACGGCTTCAGGGTAGACAACCTCCATAGCAGACTTTATGCTCGGGTGGCGATCAGAAACAATTACTAAATTTTCCGGACATCCGAAAGTGGAGCGAAGCTTTTGGAGAAACCACATCCACGCACTATGACATTCCTTATCGCCGATACCAAATGCCAAAGGGAAAATTTGTTCATTTCCGTCCTTTGTAGTTGCTACAAATAAGATGCCTTTATACTTACCCTTCAAATGCGTACCGTCAATCACAATAACAGGCCGACAATAGCTGAGGAAGCCTGCAGACGCGTTAAAAGAAATGAAAGCATACTCAAACACGTCATCTTTATCAGTCTCAATGTATGCCGATGTTCCAGGATTTTCCTTCATCGACATATGAAAATACGCCGGCAAAAGTTCCCAGGATTTCTTATGATCTCCATAAATGAAGTCGTAGGCGGCGTTTTGAGACCTCAGAGCTGTATCGTATTTTAGCTTAATGTCATGATCACGCTCCATGTCACCCATAATCTCTGCAGGCTTTAATACTCGGCCCTCTGTCAACAACTTCGGCGCGAATAATGCTCCAATGATCTTTGCAGGCAATTGTCGAGGGGCTGAATGATTTAGGTTAACTGAGCATGTATGTGGATGGATAAATTTTGAAATTTTCCAACTACCTCCAGTCAGTGCATTCGCAGAAAGCAAGAATGGACAATTTTTTTGCTTGCACACAACCTTTAACCGAGAATTTGAAGATCTCGGTGTTCGGAACTCCACTTTATGCTTCAAATGGTATAAACCCACTTTTACCAACAATTCTTCCTTACTTTCAATGACAACGCCTTTGGCTAATTCACGATATATCATTGACGGCTCTTCAGCGAAGGATGAACATCAATGTTGTGAAAATTGGCTTCGGGAATCCTCCAACCGCTACTCGAACGAGTAGCAATTTCATTCAAATCGTCCTCTTCAATAGCAACCCCTCCAGAAAGGTCAAGCCGAGGAACATTGTGGATCGCTATACTCTTCTTGTTGCGTAAAATATGCTCATTTATACCACCCATCATGTTTGAGGGCGACACAACATTGTCGTCGATATCTTCATCTTCTTCAATTATGAAGTCCGGATCATCAATGTTATCATCCATCTCATTTAGGAGATCATCATTGAAAGGATCATCACCTTCATCATCACCTTCATCATCAACTTCATCATCACCTCCATCATCAAATTCATCATCAACTTCATCATCATGACCTTCACCATCACCTTCGTCATTCCCAGTTGAATACCCATTGAACCCGCTATCCACACCCCAATCGACATGTTCGGGAGAATGTCGTGAGGCACCGGGTTGATTTGATTCTACCCTTTTAGAGGTGTCAGGCACCATGTTGTCATTGTTCCCCAGATTACATGTTGATGGTTGACTCATTATAGGTGGATACACAGCACCATATGGATAGAGAGGTGGGCCCTGAGCAGCAAATAAATTCATAAACCCACTTGGATAGCCATACGAAGGGTACATTGGTACACTCGCCTGAGTATACGGACTTGGAGTATGTTTCGACTGTAATGTGACATAGATGGTAGGTATTGTGAACATGGCAGACAC